GTATGACCTGGTGGCATGATAGGAGGTATTATCTTCCATTGTAAGTAGAATCCTATCGAACTATTTTATCAAAATTAGATTTATAAAAAGAAGAAAAAGCACATGATTTTATACAATACAATAAAAATAAAACTTACGCCAATGCAAAGACACCACCCAATAAACCATAAACTTTTCCATTAACACTATATTTCAACAAATTAGCATGTAGGTGATTTAAATCTAAGTAAATAACTGGAGCAGTTGTAAATCCAGATCTCAAAAATTGATCAATTCCAAGAATTATTGCATACGAGCCACAAAGTGAAGAAAATAGACACTTTTTGAGGAAAGAACGTAATGAAAGGTAAATGAAAAGAAAAATAAGAAGGAAAGTAAAATGATATGAAAGGTAGAAGTTACCAAAGGCCAAATCCTTCTACTTGGACAGTAAATACACATGGTCCCTAGGCCAATGAAGCCGAATATTACCAAATAGACAAGGCGGAATTGGTATGATGCAAAAAGTCCATTGTCTATCGGAATAACAATAAGTTCGAAAACGTGTAAACATACATAAATGATAATCATAGAACTCTAATGTATATGAACGTACGTACCCTTAACAGATAATGTTGTAAGGCCAAATGCGCATCCTCCAAGCACTAAAGAAAATAAATGAATCGAACTGACACTTAGATCACGTGCAAATCAACTTGACAGAAAATATAAAGTTTTTTATACTCACTTCCAACAAAGAAAACACCCACTTTATTGAAATACATAAATAGCATAGAACCTAGAGATCCAATAATCATTGGAATTATCAAATTTCTATAATCATTATATCCCGGCTCCGAATTCAACATTGATATCCATGCTAAACAACCTTTAATACGATCACGTGATTATAGAAAAGCAAAATTTTAGAAATCTTTTTTAGACTAACAACAATGAAAGAAAAATATATATATATATAGTTGTAAGTGAGAATAGAAATTGGAATTTCTTAGGATTTTAGGTTGGAGTGTAGGTTTATATAATATCAATTCTACCTTAAAATTATAATTTTACTAAGAAATTCCAAATCCATTTAAGCTTTGTTCTCACAACGTATACATATATATATATCAGATATATTCATCGTTCTAGCGTAAAAAAAACGCACCTAAAGTATAAAACCCGATAATAGATCCCGCAATTCTAGTAAATTTGGTGTAGACGAAACTAACAAATGATCCAGTGGCAATGAGAATTGTAGCGAATAATATATCAGCCAATGTTAAACCAGATGAGTAAGCTAGGTAATTATTAAAATTTAAATATAAGATTATATTCAATCAATATAATATCTATTCAATGTCATTGAATGATACCGGTAAAGTATATATAATTGATTAAGATCAAACAATGGTTTTGACCTTTTTACTTACTAGTTTTATTAGGATAGTTACTAACATTTGTAGTACTATCGGAGCTAATGGTAGTATCTTGTGCATCAACTGCCCATGGCCAAAAACAACAGATTGTTACTGCACAAGCCACAAATTCTAGGTTTGAAAATCTGCTTCGTCGTTGACTTTTACACATTCTTTTTTATTATTTATTCTTTGAGTATTAGGTTTTTTTTGTTTTTTTTTTTTGTGCAGAGAGGAATGATTCAGTGTTTCTTTAAACAACAAGAGAAAGGACAAAAAAAATATCGATATTGATATGAATAATATTAAGTATAGATTTATATTTATATAAAATATAACATGTATATAGTAAATTAGATATTAATTAAATTCCTTTTCTCTTTACGTTTGCGTTAGTAAATTTTATATCATACACTCCCGTTTAAACCCTTGTAACTTCCTATATTGTTCAAAAAGAACAGCTTTTTTTTTTTGAATACTTTTTTTTTAAAAAAAATAAAGGACATAAAAAGATGAAGTTGGAGGAAAGGGTGAAAACCTCAGTGGACACTTTGACACGCATATTTGTATAATTTCTGTCATTAATTTGAATGCTGTAATAAAATACGTTCGAGATACAGACTATATGTATATTATATAAAGTACATTTTTACTGTATACATAGTATTTAAATGTTTGCATTATGGAGAAAATTTAGGCAAAAAGTTAATGCTTAACTTCCTATTATGTAACAAGGACTATAAACGAATTAAATTGAATTAAATTCCTTTAATATATTACCATAGTTGTACATAAGCAAAATAACTTGATTCTCTTCTAAGTTCAGAAATTTTGGCTTTGCGTAGTGTGACGGATAAAAACGAATTACATTCGATGAAACAGTGAAAATGCATCGGTTGAAAAATGATGAGAAATTGAGAATATTTGGTATACGAAATAGTTAGATACGGTGTAACAAATAATTTATATCATAATGAATGCAAACAGATGATTATTAAGGAATTTTTGATTGGATTAATATAGATAAGTAGGTATCCTTTATTGACATTATAAGTTTACTTTCTTTAGATAATAATATATGTTGATACTAATGACACTAATACGTATGTATAATCAATTACTGTTACATTTTAATTTAGATCGATCAATTTACAATTTAAATGTCAAATAATAAACATATTTCTCGGGAATAAAAGAATAAACATGAATATTTTCAATTTAGCATATACGTATTTTACAACTATATATAGAAATACACCATTTATACGTATAAAATTAAACATCTAACATTTACATTAGTGATGAGTGGTTACGTCTATATCAGTTATGTAATTATACCCAAGACTTCAAAATTAAATTTGAATTTATTTTGTTGGAATTCGTTCGAGTTTTAGATGGATAGACCAGGCCATCCAGTTATTCAACGCTTTATTATTATTTATGATAACAAGAATTAAGATTGCATTTTTGGCTTTATGTTTTATCTGAATTATTGTTATCGTTATTTGTTTTATTCAATATGAATTTTATTCGTTTAGATACGTACCTCTAATGCTTTTCAGTGTGCTAATATTCTTATTGTATTATAGAATTTAGTCATCAAACTTATTAATCGCTTTTCCTTCCAAATAGATTATTTAATAGATACTATTCGATGGGATGAAAGTTTAAGTCATCCACATTTATTTCTTTTAATCTTATAAAGAATTTCAATGATATTTAAAGGAATAAAACGAAGGCCGATTTGTCGATTTCATTAATAGGTCAATTTTCGGTGAGTAACCACCGACAAACAAAAAACACGTCAAGGTGCGTGCGTGTGTACATATATATTTGCGTAGCGTGCATATATATATATGCATGCGTTCCTTACTAAAATGGAATCTTTAATGCTTATTTTTTTATTGCAATTGGAGGTATTCTATAGAATTTACTATTAAATATGATATCACTAAATTAAAAACCTGAGGATTCACAGAAAATGGGGTTTCAATTTTAGTTATGTACAGATTTGTAATTAATTATGCCAATTTATTTATGTAAAACAATTATATATTATTGAAACTATAAGCCTTTAAACAAAAAAAGCTATTTTATGGTTTAAAGGTTTATATTAGCATGAATGAAACTAATATATTTTCCAACGGACATAATCCAAAGTCTATGGTCTATGGTTAGAGTCAAACTGCATATATACCGCACTTCCAATTAAGGATTGGAACCGTTTAACTGCTCTATAGTTCCAGGTCAAATTATGTTAGTCGTGGGCCAGAATTATTTCAATGCAAGCTGAATTAAACGGTTAGCGGTTAAATGGTTAAATGAATGGAAAATCAAATAGCAAATAGCTTTAGTGAACCTTCATAGGCATGTTTATTTCACCAACAAATTCATTAAAGCTGAGTTTAGTAAAATTTATAAAGCTGTCGGTGAGATGACCTTGTCGGTGAAATAAGTATCTGTAAAATAAGAAGTATACAAAATGGGGCTATCCGACATTTTATGATCATGATTGGCAGGGAGTTGTCGGCTGAGTTTTAATTCGAGTAAACGTGATTATTTCGTAACACATAAAAAAAATAACAGAAATAACCCATGATCATAAGAGTTTGTCGGATAAGTGTTATTATGTCTATGAAATGAGTGTTGTAGATGTGACACGAATTATTTGCTGCATAAATTTTGTGGTACGCAAGTACCTACCGGTATATTAGCTGTTGTATAGATTGAACTGTACAAATCATGAATTAATAATTTGAATTCAGCCTTTAGTGTTAGCAATTACCGTACAGCGCTGCGTGAAGAGGAGTACTATACAAAGGAAAAGATAAGCTAACCGACATCACTTAACGTGACATTTACAAATTATATATGCTAAAGCTAATAACACGCTAAATTGTCATACCATGTTATACCGGTTAAATGACTTACTATTTGTTTGGTTAGTATCGGAATACTTTTCAAAATTTACAATTGAATTTTTCAGGGGGTACTGTATGTAGCGCTATACGGTAGGTATCGTGTACTGTATAAGTAATAGTTATATCCTGGGTAGTTGGGTATAAGCGGAATTTTGGTGTAGAGTATAATTAAGTAGATTGGCGCAGCCAATCTACTTAATTATACTCTACACCAAAATTTCGCTTTACCCAACAACTCAGGATATCCCCTGCCATCCACATGACTTTTTTCATGTACTTGGTTTCTACCGTCAACTTATTTTTACTGGTCTAGAAATGACGTTACCAGTAAAAATAAGTTGTGAAAAAAGTCATGTGGATGGGGTATAATTTAAACATATATCTTTAAAAAAAAAAAATCTTGAAATTTTTTTATAATTTAGAATTAAAAACTTTTATTCCTAAACAGTTTTGCAATTTAAATTATGATATTTATTGTTCAAGAAAATATAAACTGATTACATTAATGTACCCAATTAAAAGTCTTAATATAAACTAAAAGTTAAAACAAAAAATAAAAAAACTCCCTTAAGATATATATACAAAGTTTTATCCCAAGAAATAAAGAATTTATGATTATGTGCAAAACAAAATATTAGCCAAAGTAATATTCATTAAATGAACTTTTTTAAAACAACTATCTTTAGAAAGTCATAAGGAATTGAGGAGATTTTTTAATTGAAGAATAGTCCAATCCATCAATATTAAGGAATTGTTCATCACACGGATCCGAAGTTTTTTCATTACTACTATTATATCCACTATCACCTGATTCATCCTCATCCTCTTCAATTATAGTTGTTAAATAACCATATTCCGAATTCGTAATCTCATTAGATTCATATTCAAATCGCACTTCAGACTCATCTTCCTCAAAGATAGTAGGCACGCTAGGTTTTAATTGAAACATTCTTTGTCGTTTATTAAACCTCTTTCGTATCGTATATGAATAATCATCATTCCTAGGTTCAATTATTCGAACATTCTTCTTTACAGAACTTTGCTGTAAATCATCCAACACCTGTTTCAATTCATCTTGACTATACAAGATATTTTGAAGAACTTTTGATTTTTTAAATTGATTTCTCAAGCTTAATTGTTGCTTGATAAACTTACGCGACCACCAACATTGTAATGCATAAATCACTGAAAATAAACTTACAGTCGAATAATCTCTTTCTCTTTGAGAATTCGACTTTGTAGTTGAAGTATTTTTATTGCCAAATAATTCAGGATCGGTATAATTGTTCAAACCAAGAAAATATTGACAATAAAAATAGACCAATAAACTATGAAATAAAATTCTTGCAGCAAGATAAGTTATGGTGGTAGCGCAAAAGTTTTGAAATTTTGAATGTTTTAACGAAGAGATTTCAGAATTAGTAGTTAATTCAGAAGTAGTAACAACAAGAGTTTGGGAACTCGGTGTCACGAAAACTAAAGTTATTACTTCAGTTAAGAAAATCCATAATATCATTATACTCAAGACATTTTCTTTTGGAATAAATTTTTCGATCCATTCCCATTTGGATCTTAAGGCTTGATAAAGAAAAGGTATAGTGCTCAAGCTAACAACTGAGGTTACGGTTGTGGTTAGTATCCAAGATTTTTCACATTTTGAACGTAAATGTCCTCTTTTTGTTTGTAAAAGAAATGTAGTAAGCAAAAGGGAGGATGATATTAGGATAATATTTAAAGCAAGAGAAGGAACCATGGCGATAATGTTGGTATAGGAATAATTAATCGAGTATAAAGATAATGATAAATTTAATCAGGAAGAGAGTATAGATCGTACAAAGAGCGTGTGGTTAAAAAACAAAAGTCGTTAAAAATAAATCGTTAAAATAGTCGTTATAGAATTCAAAATAAAGTTATGAAGGAATACATTTCAATTATTAGCTTCTTTTATACAAACAATATCCAAAGTAAATCATTATTTAGGATTTTTTCAGAGAGTTGTAAGAGATAAAGAAGCATAATTGGCTAGTTTAATCACTCAATTATGTAATAGATGATTGAAAATTAGAAATAGAATACTCTTAACATTACATTGTTAACAAATATTGTTGATGTACGAGCGAAGGCATGATTGCTTGTTGGTGCAACATTTGATTTGAAATTTGAAACTGATTGGTCACAGGACAATAGTTCATGTTCTCGTGTTCTTATTCTTGCTTTTTATTTGTCTTGCATCGATCAATTTCCATTTCAGAATATGCATTACCTAATAGTGATAATGCTATAACGATAATGAATGTTTTTTGGTTACTATATATATTAATTAATTACTATATCGATATATATTAATTAAAATTTAATAAATATGTATAAAATTAGAAAAATCATATGACTACATACCTTTTGTTCAACGAATTATGTATGTAAAAATCAGGCGTTCCTTAGGATACGTACGTACTAGCTATTTCCGAAATACGAGTGATATTATTAATCACATAGCTTGGAAACATCGCTGACGTACGTACATACATACATAATATCGCTAAAGTCGAGTACGATTTAATCTTTCTATAAGTTAACTTATCCGATTTTAGATAAGATTTTTATGTGACCCCTATAATCGGAAGTTTCACCTTATATAATTATCGTCAGAATTACATATCATGTATTTCATTATTATAGGTTAATTATAGGTTTTACATATAAATAACTTGAACTATCTATTGAAGGTTAGAAATATTAGTTCTGTAATTTGATTAATCGCTATTCCTATAATTTGATTAATCTAATTTGATTAATCGCTATTCCTATAGTCTTATGAATTACGTACCACTAACATTAAAGCATGAAATATTGATACCTAATCGATCCATTTATGGTTATTATAAAGTCTTTTTTGTTTGCACACTAGAGCAGCATTTTTTTTATTTAAATTTAACGATAATGAGAATGATATGACAGATAATATAGTTGATGATAAGGTCCCTTATCGATAAATCTGTTGTTAAGGAGTTAGACCACTCAAAGTTGTTGAGGAACTAAGAAGCATAGAACGTTGATCTACGGAATTAAGGATTACATGCTTAGGGTTGCTCTGTCACATCGGTGTAAATCATAGGTAATCGTCTTGGCAATTGAATGCTCTTCCCAATTTTCAGTTTCCTGCAATGATTATGCTAAAAAGATTCATGGTGATAAGATGTTCAAACATAGGAGTGAGAAACCTCTTTTTTTTTTGACGACAATCGTTTTTTGGTGATAAAGACTACCAAGAAATCGACATACACGGTCATATCTACAATGTTGCTTTGTGATCCAATGTAGATGCTGGACAAATAATATACGTATATTTAATGTTGTGCTATAAATATCATAAATACTTACAAATATTTATTAAAAAATATTGGATCATTCTTAGGATCATCCGTTGTCGAAAGATTAGATGAGTTCTCACCCAAAGATAGCGCCTAAAAATAGCCAATTTTAGATTGTGAATTTGATATCATATATGACTATAGGTTTGTAATAAAAAAACAACTGGTGATGATGAATAATTACTTGCTTTCTAAAATGGGTTTTCAAATTTGTTAATTTTTCTTTCAATTTTAATAGATATCAGATTGTGTTCGATCTAAGATTGTCCATCAAAAATATTTTTATCTTCCGAAATACTTTAGGTAAATCCATTATGCCGAAAACCTAATCATCTGTTTAAATTTTAAATCGTATAAAAATATATTGAATACGTTAGTAAATCACTGCAATAAGTGAATTCATGCGAGTTCTAAATTTATGATACTTATGTAAGACATACGTTGAGTTTTATTACACGCGTTATAATAATCATGCCATATTCCTTTCATGTTCATATTATATGTGACGAATTCCATAGGTAACGATAGCAGTAACATGTGATTAATTTTGAGTGACGTCAAGGAAAAACCTAACTTTGGGCTTTCAAGTTTATCATTTATTATTTATCGTACTCAAGCCCTGACCGGTTCGATAACATTATCACAGCCATAAAAAGGGCATTTATTATCTTCGTAAATGAAGACTTTTTTGATGCAATTTCTATGAAATTATAGTCGTCCTCTTTCATTTTGGCCTCCATTAATAATTCGCCTGCAATAGGAGATCCTTAGTGTTAATTTGCTTTGTGTTTCCAGCTGAAATGGGAGAAACATCTTTCTGATCTAAATTTAGAAGTAGACATAATGATAAATAACAATAACAAACATCGAATGGAAGTTTGATTATCAGTCCGGATTAGAGTTTTAAATCGGTTTTATTTTCGTATGCTAAAACCGGGTTTAATCGGTTTTAAGAAACTGATTCCAACTTTACTCAAGACTTAATAATTTCAAATCTTGAACGCATCAACAAAAAGGTAAGATATTTAAACTAAATTCTTGCAAAAAAAAAAAAAAAGATTATGTACGAATTGTGTTTAAAATTATTTGTGTGAAAAAGAATGTTCCAGCCATATTTTGGTTGCGCAAGCATTCATCCCTATTAGGTGTGACATCCTAGCTGTTAATTTGGAATGAGTAATTTCTAAAGAAAAATGCTGAACGTGTAGTATTCCAATTCCTACTGTAAACGTAGTAATTCTAGAAAAATTGTGCAATTCTATCACTCTCACATCAAATACTTTACAGAAACTAGCTTCTTTTTTTTTTGATAAGTTTAAGATAGTTTAAGATAACATTAAAGTTATTAATATTATTTTTTTATAATAATTAAAAGATTATTATTTTAACATTAAGATTAATATCTAAAAATAATAATAAAATTATAGTTAACTAATTATAAAAGTATTATAAGATTATTGTTTAAGATTTTTTAAAGATTTTATTATCTTTATTTTTTAATAAAATAAGTTTCTTATATTAATTTATTTTTTATAGTCAAAGGTATCATTTTTGGTAATAGAGTTTTATTTAAATCTTTAGAACATAGGCACCTTTAAAGGTATTTTATATTGTAGAATATATTTAGCCATACATGCATTTTTAGTATCTAATTAAGTAGTTTACTTATTATAAACTCTATATTAAATATTATATCTAAAGCTGATTCCAAGTTTTGTTTATTAAACTCTTTGTAATACAATTTCTTTTATAGAAACATAGTTCCTGATTCTTTGTTATATTGTGTTGCATCAAATCGTGTATTCGGATTGGCCAATCGATATAAATATCGATAAGAATAGCAGGTCAAATGGTATTCGAATTATGCCATTATAACATGTCAAATCTTTCAATTTTAGGCCATATAAACTTAATAAATTAGTTCTCATAGCATAAAATTTTTAAAAGTGACCCAGCACCTATATAAAAAACATATAAAATTTTTTTACAAATTTTTTTTAAAAAATTCATCCGTATAGTAAGTATACTTGAAATTTTTTGACCCAGCCAGGTTATGAGAACCGATTTTTTAAGTTTGTATGGCCTTACCAATGCAGCAAGTTTACTTTACGGGCTATCAATGCACAGATAAGTTCATTTTACCGACAGCTTATTTAATAGACGGTTTCACCAACAGCTCAAGTTTTTTAATAACTTTTACTAAAACAAAATTCCAATCCTAACCCTAACAATAATGGCTATAGTTACTTTGTTAGTGAAATTGTTTATGAAATGGGTTGCCAATAAAATGAACGTTCTATGAAATGAATTTGTCAGTGAATTAATCATTAGTAAACTAAACATGTCGGTGAATTAATTGTCTGTAAAAAAAGATGTCCATGAACTGACTGTCTGCGAAATGAACAGAACCAAATAATAAATTAAACAATAGAGAAGGGATTAATGAATGAACTTTTCGAACTATAGTTATAATAAATTAAATATACCTGTAAAATTTAGTCTTCATTTACTATTACCAGTTTCATCATGTTTCACCACTTTCACCAGTTTTGCTACATTTGCTAGTTTCACCATTTCTCCTTTTTAGAACAAAAATTAAAACTAGAGTTTCAACTTTCGCTAATGCGAAACTTTAGGTTCGCCTAACAACTATAACATTAACACATGCAACAAATGTAATTGTTTGAAATTATATGATACTAAACATTTATTATAAATAGTCCGCTAGGAGGATTAGCATTGATTTGCCAATTGAATAAAGTATTCAGAAGTAGTGCTGTTAGGCGAAACCTAGAGGTTTCGCCAAAAAAAATTAAAATGGCGAAACTGGCAAAACTACTAAAAGGTGGCGAAACTAGAAAAGGTAATGGAATTAGTAAAGGGTGAGAAATTAGTAAAAGAGGCAAGAATAGAAAGCAATCATATATACATGATCAGTCATCTAAATTTTACTATATTTGATCAATTATAAGTTAATAATACAACAATTATTTTCTTAAAATTAGTCTTGAGATTTAGGTCAGATAAAATAGAGCATCGGGAAATAATTTCTGATAATAATAAGTAAACAAATTACTTACATATGTATAGTATTTAATTAAAGTTTTAACTATAAAATGCTAAGAGAAAAAACCTTTACACTATAACAATAAATTTATTTAAATGTTTATTTATACCAATGATATTAATACATAGATAAGCACTTAAGTTCAAAAGCCTGAAGTCTAGTTTTCTTTTAATAGTACTCAAATACAAATGAGAGGCATCGTTTTGTTTATTGCTTTTGTACATATTTATGCTATGCTTAATCGCCACACACAAAATATTTTGATTTACCAACATGACACAGTCTTTCCAAAGTCTTAGAGGATTTGATCTTCGT